TTCTTTTGAAAAAGAAAATAATATATAGAATTACGCAAAATTGTATGCTGCTAAATGCTGAAAATTCTACCTTACAATGGTGGTGTTATTTTTCCAAACATTTTAATGTCCCATCATACATGTGAAAATGTCGGCTTAACCATAAACGCAAATGTCCAAAAAGATCAAACAAAAAATCATGCGTTTGTTACGAATGGTTTTTTTCCCATAGCTTTGAACCTTTTGACCTAAAGAAATTTGAGATATAAAAATAAAGAAAGAAAACAAGATTTTAAAAGGGAAAAAATCAATTAAAAATAGAAAAAGCATTATAAAAAATTTATGGACGTTTGTATCTTTTTGTTAAATTTATAAGTTTCTGACTTAATTTTGTTTTTCAAAAACTTAAAACAGTTTAGAAATCTACATTGGAAGAACAATGTTACTTTACACAAGCAATATTGTAGAGGGTAATAACGAGCGACGCGTGCTAAACTATCTACCTTCAAATTATTGCTTCAGAGGACGATAAGGAGAGAGAAGGGGAAGCCTGATAATAACTAATTTGATCTATGTTGTTTGTTTATTACTTAAAATTCATATTCAATGTAAAATATAGTTTCAATATTCTCCATCAAATTGATGACTCTTTAACTATTTGTTTCGGTAAAGTTGTATCATGGTATCATTTTTGGATCAAAAAGAAGAATTTTGGATCATAGCGGAATCAATGTGAGACTAGTTATTGTTTAGATTGATTTCTATTCAAATTTGATATTGTGAATCGTGTTATAACACCATGTTAAGTTTCATTCATGGATTTTAAATTAGTTCATGTCATTTATATATCACTTAGTATTTCTATTCACTTGCAATATGGAATATGTCCCAATATCTCTTTGGTATATGTATTCTGCAATGTGTTATTGGTAGAAATCAAACGCGTATAATAAACAAAATTAGTATTATTTTAGTGTGTGAGCATATCAACTATATTATTTAGCAAAAAAAAAAAAATCAACTATATGTTTAAATAAACATCTATTTGTTTACTATACAAGCATGTCTAAAAGCTATGCGTTGTTAAAATGTGGTAAGCTGACTAACATTTTAAACAGTTACTTATATGATATGAAAAATACATGTTATCAAAAGGTGCAAACACATATGATATAAGGTTAAATAACATAATATTTGTTTACAATCGCGTAATTTTAATAAATAAAAATAGATTAATATGGTAAACTGAAACAGAAAAAAAACAAATGATATATTAGTAACGTTCAAAGGAAAAAAGTTTTGGCTACCGGGTACTTTCTTCAAACCCTGGAAAAATACCACTTGATGCTAGTGTCGTTTTTAAAATTTCTCTGGTCGAAGTGTTATAAGTAAACCGAACTTATATATAAATATGGAGTAATGTAAATTCATGCCGATCTAATTTGCCAAACTAATTGTGTTTGAATAGTAATGTAAATGGTTGTGGAGGAAGTTAGTTTTGTAGAAACACAAGTGAAGCATCTAATGTGAGCATAAGAACCAGGAAGGAAGTAAAAACCGTTTAGAACTGAGAGTATACGGGAACCAAGTGGACAGATAGGACTCGATACCCACTACTTCATTACAAGCAGAGCAAGAGTCTTTTTAGATACGTACATATAACATATTTGTATAAAGACTCCATAATATACCGACATGCATACCAATTTTGTATTTTTGTTGTTAAGTTACAAATTTCTTAACTGCGTTGGTTAGATTTGGATATGTGTAATATTTATTTTTTTGTTAGTTTTGAACAGTATGAACTGTTTTTAGAAAAAAAAAAACATGAAATTTAATATTCTAATGATCTATTAGACTACTAGTTAGTGTTGAGAGAGTTGATGAAAATAGATTATTCACAATTTCAATCATAGTTAAGTGGTCATAAAACTGATGTTCATAGATTAGTGGTTTTCTTTTCTCAACAGATTAATTAGTGGTAAAAATTAAAATATCAAATTAGAAAATTGAAGTCGACAGTAAAAGATTTGTTTTTAAAAAGAAATTTGAAACTTAACAACAAATTAATTTATAAGAAAACAAAATTGGTATGTCGGTATATTATGGAATCTTTTTACAAATATGGGATATGTATGCATCTAAAAATACAAAACTTGCAATCTGCCACGTGTGTATATAATGAAATAAATAAGAGATATATATAACAAACGAATTTGCCAGTTGCCACTATACAAATTTTTTTGAAATGTTATGTTTCTTACTCAAAGAAAATTGTGCGAATACATTTAATTGTTTTTTATATTGACAATGACAAGAGTATTTAATAAAATATGTAATTTAGTTAGGAGTGAGAGCAAAGTTGAGTCGATTAGTCAGGATAAAGTTGTACGATTTTATAGTTTCTTTTTAATATGTTGATCACACCACAATTTTTGCATGGTTTAAATGGGGAAGAGAAGAACTTAGCATGCTCAAAGAAGGAGAACAAGGATTGAAATATAAAATAATTCCTGGTTTGGCATGTAAGAGTTATTGTTTTTTGGGTGTATCCTAACGGAAAAATATCTATATACGTAGAGACCAATTTATTGATTTATCTCTAACTATATTGAAGTAAATTTTAAAATTTTTATTAGTGAATTAATAAGAGTTCATATATACAAACCTAGTAGATATTAATTAAATTACCGGCGTAAATGCGGGTCTTAGTATCTAGTAGTTTTATAAAATCTACAAACCAGTCTTATTAAAGCAAGTAGCAAATTCTTTAT